TCCTCAGTAGGACAAAAAGCGTTTATGGAATTCTTCTTACGAACTTTGAACGTCATAAAATCAAGAAAGATGATTTAGTTTTGAGTGAAATAAAACGCGGGTCAGCAGAAGAATCTACTTAATCTATTGTATAAAATCCAATAAGAATTATGTTAGTTATATTATTCAACGTCAGATCAGCGAGACACTACTTATAAGATATCACTAAACATCCCGTCTTACGAACCATGGACGTATCATGTTTAACAGAGATATATATCCAAAACCAGGCAGAATCCCATCAGTTCTTGAATTATACCTGCATATTGTATCTTCACTCATCTCCTCGAATCGGTTGCCATGACAATGTACATCAGATCCAGGTGTTTATGTGCACATCTTTTCATTCTTAGTACAACATAGGTCTCTTTAGTACAATATAGGACTCTTTAATACAATATAGGGCTCTTTAGTACAATATAGGACTCTTTAGTACAACATATGACTTTTTAGTACAACATAGGACTCTTTAATACAATATAGGGCTCTTTAGTACAATATAGGGCTCTTTAGTACAACATATGACTTTTTAGTACAACATAGGACTCTTTAATACAATATAGGGCTCTTTAGTACAATATAGGGCTCTTTAGTACAACATATGACTTTTTGGTACAACATAGGACTCTTTAATACAACATAGGACTCTTTAGTAACACATAGGACTCTTTAGTACAACACAGGACTCTTTAGTAACACATAGGACTCTTTAGTACAACATAGGACTGTTTAGTACAGCATAGGACTCTTTAATAAACATAGGACTGTTTAGTACAGCATAGGACTCTTTTATACAACATAGGACACTTTATGACTCTTTAATACAACATAGGACTTTTTAGTACAACATAGGACTCTCTAGTACAACAGAGGGCTCTTTAGTACAACATAGGACTCTTTAGTACAACATAGGACTCTTTAATAAACATAGGACTGTTTAGTACAGCATAGGACTCTTTAATACAACATAGGACACTTTATGACTCTTTAATACAACATAGGACTATTTAATACAACATAGGACTGTTTAGTACAACAATCCATATAAATGACAACAAAAGGAAATTTTCTCTCTTTACAGGTCTCCATCAACACAAACAAATGCATTAATTCAATAAGGTGTTTGACCAAACACACCGTATAATTATTGGACACACTTATGCGAGCATTTCATTGTAGTGATAAAGGTTATACAATAAATAGGATTGTGTGGTACATATCCAGTGGTGTGTGTCCTCAAAATAATGGCTAACACACGAAATTCAAATCCTCAAACAACTCGTTCAACTCATAATGCATTGCGGTGCCATTCATAACCCACTTTATCATCATCCCTTCAATATACCGCAGCAGTTTGACCATGTCGTACAATGATGAGATTGTCAGTGATTTCCCAGCAATAAGACCATCGGACATTAAACCCATACGGATACAAAATATTTATTTATATATTTGTCTGTTAAGTATCAAGGTTCTGTGCTGTTTAGGAAAGCAGGACTTTTTAGTTTGGCTATATCGTCGACAATTTTGTCATCAGATCCCATTCTTCCTTCGGGCATATGTCTGTAATATTTGTCTGTCTAAATCTCTTTTCGTCCATCCAATAAACGACAGGGTGCGTGGGCATTCATGCTGTACCTTAGTGTATGATGACAATTATCTTTAAAAAAAAAGTGTTTTTTCATAAAAAAAAGTTCATTGATATACAATTCTTACCATACCTCTGTTTTTTACCTAGAGTAGAGTAGCAATCTGAATATAATGACGTAAACGTTGCTATTTAAGGAAACACAATTTCATTTACATTTCGGCAGCGTAATTAACCTCTTTCGCTAATTGAGGTTTATTGAGAAAAAGTAAGTTCGTATTGTCTTATTTAACATTTCAGCAATTACTGTGCCTTTAACAGATCTAAAACAAGTCGTTATTCGTGATAGAAGCCAGAATGAAACTCTCTACTTTTTTCTGTAATAGATGATTCCAGTATCACGTAGTCTTATCGCCATCTCTGTAGACACATATCTCGTCAGTGCACTCTTACGTTGTAATTTTTTAACCAAACCTTTAAATGCCACGGATGGAAACGGTATGCGTTTAATCCCGTAACACCTCTTAAGTGTGTTGATGTTGATACTTCCTATTGTTTTGTCCACTACTGAGAACATATCATTGACACGGGTACGATTTCCTTTGTATGTAATGAGCTTTTAAAACGAGGCTGATGGCTTACCCAACCTTTTATATACCTTCTATAATGACTGGAATATCAACCCTTAGGTGGCATTTTGTGTGTAGACAACAAAGTCCATTGATTTTTGTTCTTGTGTCAGTTTGTTATAGCTATTTGGGCGAGTGCGAACCAGCAGAACAATATAAATGATATCAAAACAGAAGAAACATACACGTGGCCGGGCCCTCTTTGAATTTCTGAGAATACTGGATGTCAACACAATCTTAATCTAAATTCGAAATCGATAACTATGAACAGAAGAAAGATTTACGCCGAGACTCGAGAGAAACGTAGATAAATGTCTTGGTTTTTCTGATAAGCAAGCGACTTCATAGACCGCTTCAATGTCAATCTTTATAACCTTTTTTTCAAAATGTGGCAGGTTTCATGTATTTTTGTGGTTATTTCAAACACTTCCCAATCTGTGTCACGTTTCCTTGTAAATAATTTGTATCGTGACTTAAAGACATTTTTTCCTTAATTGTTGCAGTCATTAACGGTTTTTGTATTGCAAAAAATAAAGTCGATGCTGTCACATTTTGTTTCTGGTCTAGCCGCCAGCTATAACATCGTTTTAAATATGGACTCTAGAGGAGTTTAGGAATCCGAGGAAGATGCAGACATCGGTATCAGGTAAAATAGAAAGATTAACCAAGATGCTGTTCAAAAGAATACAATACGTGGTTTTCAAGCCTACAAAATTTCAATGAGTTGGTAAAAACCTGTGGGAGCAGACAAATGGAAAAGATTTTGTTGAAAAAGAGTGGGCGATACCACTTCACAACATTGTTAAATCTATGATATAGAGAGTAATTCGCATTTCTATGTAATGGTTATAAAGTCTGCTATTTCAGAGAAATTGGGGAGGAAATGAGGGGGAGATCTCCAACAAAATAAAAATGATATTTAAAAGAAAAACAAAGGGCAATAACTCCTTTAAAAAATGTTGTATCAAACAGCTGTTTGCGAAAACATATATATGGACAAGATTGATATATGAAAACGACAAGGAGAGTTAACCCTTCCAAATATCCAACCAAATTACGTCATGGTGATAATGCCTTCGTTTGAAAGATATCGGTTGCAATCTGAGAGAGGAGATTTGTAAACAAGATTAACATTTTTAAAATAACTAGAAGCACTAACATTCTAAGTATAGCTTTATCAAACTGCCATTCAGTAAAAATCAACATGTCATGATGATTGAGTCTACTGTCATGATGATTGAGTCTACCGTTATGATGATTGAGTCTACCGTCATGATGACTGAGTCTACTGTCATGATGATTGAGTCTACTGTCATGATGATTTAGTCTACCGTCATGATGACTGAGTCTACTTGATTGAGTCTACTGTCATGATGATTGAGTCTACCGTCATTATATGTCATGATGACTGAGTCTACTGTCATGATGACTGAGTATACTGTCGTGATGATTGAGTCTACCGTCATGATGATTGAGTCTACCGTCATGATGACGGAGTCTACTGTCGTGATGATTGAGTCTACCGTCATGATGATTGAGTCTGCTGTCATGATGATTGAGTCTACCGTCATGATGATTGATTCTACCGTCATGATGACCGAGTCTACCGTCATGATGGAATCTGTCATGATGACTGAGTCTATATGATGATTGAGTCTACCGTCATGATGATTGAGTCTACCGTCATGATGACCGAGTCTACCGTCATGATGACTGAGTCTGTCATGATGACTGAGTCTATATGATGATTGAGTCTACCGTCATGATGATTGAGTCTACCGTCATGATGACTGAGTCTACCGTCATGATGACCGAGTCTACCGTCATGATGACCGAGTCTACCGTCATGATGACCGAGTCTACCGTCATGATGACCGAGTCTACCGTCATGATGACTGAGTCTACTGTCATGATGACGGAGTCTACTGTCATGATGATTGAGTCTACCGTCATGATGATTGAGTCTACTGTCATGATGACTGAGTATACTGTCGTGATGATTGAATCTACTGTCATGATGATTGAGTCTACCGTCATGACCGAGTCTACCGTCATGATGATTGAGTCTACCGTCATGATGACTGAGTCTACTGTCATGATGATTGAGTCTACCGTCATGATGACTGAGTCTACCGTCATGATGATTGAGTCTACTGTCATGATGACTGAGTCTACTGTCATGATGACTGAGTCTACTGTCATGATGATTGAGTCTACCGTCATAATGATTGAGTCTACCGTCATGATGACCGAGTCTACCGTTATGATGATTGAGTCTACCGTCATGATGACTGAGTCTACTGTCATGATGATTGAGTCTACCGTCATGATGATTGAGTCTTCCGTCATGATGACTGAGTCTACTGTCATGATGACTGAGTCTACTGTCATGATGATTGAGTCTACCGTCATGATGATTGAGTCTTCCGTCATGATGACTGAGTCTACTGTCATGATGACTGAGTCTACCGTCATGATGATTGAGTCTACCACGTCTGAAAAGGATAAATCCTGTCCATCCATCGTAAAAAAGTTTTAGGATGGATGGACAGGAAAAAACATTCCATAATATATCCTGTCAATTATTTTGATGGACATATAAAGATATTATACTGTAGCATGAAATTGGGTTTGAACTTGAGATAAGTTGCATGGATTTGAGTCTCGTTCCTGAGAAACTTTTGGAGTCTGCTCCATCCGACCTGTAACTTAACAATTGACAATAAATAACTGTAACAACAAAGTCAACTACACCACTACTTTAATTATACAAACAAGAAATTTGGTACCACAAGCAATAAAATAGGAAATTAACATACAAAATTTATCTGACTTGAACAATTTCCCCAACAAGTTTTAAAAATATTGGAAGATAGATATATATGTTTCCATTTAGTAGATAGATTAACGAATTCCAAACTCAAAATGAAATTACTGCATTTTTTCAAAAAATTCAGACTTGCATGGTAATGTTAGCAAAAATAAAAAGAATAGAAAATACTGAATATAGTATATGACATGATGGTATTATATGTATGAAGATATCTAATTCTATAAGATGAGAGCAATATCTCGCCATGCCAAATTGGTAATTGTAAATGAGCACATTTCACATTCATGTTTGATTTTTAGGTTTCTTTAATCCATGAATATAATGAAAATTACACTGCGATAAAAAATAAGTCTGGATAAAGTACACTGTTAAACATACATTTCTAGTTGATATAGATCATGTGACCAACAAGAGAAGTATCAACTAAACAAAACTTGATAATTAGCTGTAAAAAAGCATGAATATTATCCAATCAAAATACTAGTTTTGACACCAATTCTCTAATGGTATGACACTGTATCAGTCAGAAATGATATTTCATGATCAAACTGATATGGAAAAAATTAACAATTGAAAAGAAATGTAACTTCCTGCCGACATCTGTTTGCATTTTCCCCACATTATTTATGCTGCTTGAAACTCTTTAAGTATTTATGGCAGCATGCATATCAATATTGCTACAATATCAAACTTTCAGGCATCATTATCAAATTACATCAACTGTTTTATCATGACTCTTTAAAAGATCACTAACATGATAGACAAAAGAATTAAACTTCGTTAGTGCTTCATCAATCTTTCTAAACACATATTTCTTCATAAGTAATGATAGCTTGACTGATATGATTTCTTATAACTTTTTAAACAATTGTATTAAGTAATTAATCAGATCATGTCCTTTAAAAAAATATTTGCACAACTTTCAAGGCATGGTAATTAATAAGACTGATCTTGTGAGTTGATCAATAGGTTGATGAAGTAGGTACTTAGCATTTGTAAGCAAGTCATTGTACATTTTATTTGAAGTCATTATCCAAGAATTCTTTCCAATGCCAGAGTGTCTTGCTAGTACATGTTAATGCCAACAACATTACATTGCAGCTATGGAGGCCCTGTTCTACATCAGAGTCATTTGTTTTCATGCCTTCACTGAAGGTTTCACATGTAAGTACATTATATACAAAACAAAAAGCAGTTTCCTCACCATGATTTGTAACATTAAGTGTGACAAAGAAAGTGACCACATGGTTTGTGATGTAAAGTGACCAATAATGTTTCCTCTGTCCATGGTTTGTAATGTAAGGTGTCACAGAGACTTATGTCAGGTGTTACAAAGACACTACTGATTATACATCACGTTAAGGATTACACATTATATATAATGCATGAACTGTCCAAAAAGATGTTTTTTTATTGATTGATTTGGTTGTTAAGCTGCCTCAGAATACCCAGAACAACTTCTCTCAAGGACTGAAAAGAAAGCAGATGAAATACATGAAAGAAGAAAGATAACTCGAATAATTTGCATCCTACTCTAATCAACAGACCAAACAAAAATCTTGTTTACCAATATCATAATCGTATTACATTAAGGGTGTTTCTAATCCACTTAGGTCAAACATCATTTCTTAACAATAAGAATTAAAATTTCCTTCAGTTAAAATGTTTTTAATCTTTTTACAACTCCAAAAGGTCACTACCTAATTCCCAACATGATACCCATCCTTTGTGAGAAATGAACAGCTGCCAAAGGTCATTCTGAATTGATGTATTACTGATAAACCATATTAAGTGTGTACAACATAATTTAACATTTGGTTTCAATCTATGCCACTTTTTATATTGATACCATATCTTTTAAAACCCTTTTAAAAATACTTTATGCATTTTTTAAAACCATTTTTCATGAATCATGATCAATCTTTGTTATTCATTTCTAACATTATTTCAAGAGGATATTGTTAAAAGTGTATTTTATGAAGATAAGTGGACTCCTAACCTAAAATGACCATGCTGCTTAAATTTATCAGTTTTAACAATTGGATTATGGCTGTTCACTTATGAAATAATGACAGACCTACAGATCATACTTAAAATTTCTGACAATCCTTGTGGAAGTCTGATGAGGCATGTATCATTATAAGCACATTCCTTCTGACTTATGTCTGAAAGTTTACATTTACAAAGCTTATAAATGGGTTTATCCGCACACATGAACAGGCAACACTATAACTCAACCTTCAGAAGTACGTCATCATTTTGACATTTTGCATGTATTTCTAAAGGTTTGTCTGTATTATCAGACAATACTCACCTGGGGCTTGCAGTATTCTTCAAGCCAACTGAAGGCACAGGCAGACAACTCAGCAAAGTTGGCAACAGAGATGGTCGCATTAAATGATTGGAATAGTGTGTCCATGATGCCTTGAAACTGTTAACAGAAACAAACAGATCATGTCAATCAAATTATAGTTGTTGTTTTAATCAGAATACTCTCATTATGTAGACTTATTATTACAATGAAAACTTGGTTTATTGTTGATGGATTGTCTCCCTTGGTCCGTATTTGCCTACATTTATATACATATAATTTTAATACTGAAAACATCAATGTCTTTCTCAGACATACTTAAGCGTAATTCACATCAAGCAGAAAAAAGCAGGATATGCTTTTGACAGTAGAAATGTATTTACTGTTCTCATCACTCACACTCATTATGCAATGTGAAGAGACAATGTAGCAAGTATATAAAAAACCCACCTTGTCACAAACACTGAACAAATGAAGAATGAAAATGTCTGGGGTGATTTAATTCATCTAGTATCTTAAATTTACTGAGGTGTGTCAATAAATCTTTTGTATCAAAGGGACATCTGTTTTTGTGTTACATCAAATAAACTAGTCCACTGGAACCATTTGTACATTTTCCCAAATCATAGCAATGTGATCATACTGACAAAAACCCAGACATCGTGATGAATTATTCCCCTTTTTTAAAATTTTCTGTCCAATAAGGTCATTTTCGGGGAGCATTCCTCAGTGTCACTGATACTCTTATTTTAATATTTTTCATGACTTTATGATCTATAGTGAAAAGCAAACACTGATCATTTAAAAAGTACAGTTTGCCAACTTCAAAGTTCAACTCTAGCAATCATGACAGTTGTATACACATGGTTTCAAGACGTAATGCTGTCGATTTGTTATCTAAATGAAATAAGATATTAAGTCTCAGCATTGTACTAAAATACTGACCACTTGAAACTTGACCTCGTCGGACACAAGGTTCTGGCCATGTACTGGTGTATTTTGGTGGGTTTTTACAATGTGTTCATAGTTCCTGGAATACAAAAATTATGAATAATAAAATGAAACTCAAGATACCAAACATAAATGATACTAAGGCACACACTCTAGTGTGATCACCTAATAACACAAAAAATGTATACATGTAATCATCATTCCCTAACTGATTATCACTTGCTGTATTTACCTCTCCATAGGCTGGTAAGGAAGTTGTGTGTAATAGTTGAAATCAATCCTTGTAGTATGTTTGTTCTAGTCTTCTGGGCTTCTATATATATAGCTACATGTATATCAATTTACCCTTGCTATGATAAATTCCTTTATGTACACATATCAGTATTATACTGCCTGTATCCCGGTATTTCTGTTTTCAATCTGGTCTTTAGTTTGCCCATGCCAATTTCATGCCAGCAAATACCTACTCGCCCATGTATTCATCCCTTATGTTTCCAAAGTAAAGTCAATATGCTTAACCTCTAGGTTAACTGTAATTGATATTTAACATTAAGGAATTCTTTATGAAGAACTCACGCTTTCATGATCTTAAGTGCCATAACCTCTTTCCTGAGGGAGTCTAGTTCATCTTCCTGTTTGGTTTTCTGATGGGCCAGGAACTGGATGTAGTCGATGGCTGAAAGACAGGATAAATACATACATGTACAAACATACATAGAATTCAACCTTAAGATAGAGGTTTTCCAAAGATATATAACTTCATTTACTGTTAAATGCAACATAATTTACTCAGTTGATGGTATGTATAGATTACATTAGTAAATAAACCAAGCATTTCATTTCAGGAAATAATTTACCTACAACAGTTATACTAGTAGACTGGATCTAACCTTGCATGTCTGAAATATCACACTAAGAAAGGCTACCAATTCATTTTCAAGAATTTTTTTTTCTATATAACTATTTCTAACAATCAATACACTGACCAATCACGTGAGATTTTGTAACATGTGGAAACTTTTTTAGGATTTTAGGAACAATATTTACAAAATATTACCAATATCTTATTTTTCTGAAAAAGCATTACAGCACCCAGGCTGCAGGCAAGAAAATAAAACTAGATCATTATAACAACAAACATGGAAATGTACACTTTCTGAACCAACTATTTCATTCATTTATCATAACTACTTCAGTATGAACAAATCTTTGACCTCTTCAGATTTCATATACAATGTATCATTACAAAAACACCTGTTAAATTTATCCTGACCGTGTTTACTAAAATATCTTTGCTTACATCGTTGGAGGACAGTCGCTTTGCTGAGTTTCTGTGACCCAATACTGTCAGCCTGCTGACAAGTGGGAACAATGCTCTGTAACTCATCATATCCTTTCTGAAACAGATAAAAAAAATTCAAATGCAATAATTCAATAGAGGACTACATTAACTGTAGAGTCATGATGAACTAATGGAACACTTCCATAGCAGGTCTACATGAACTGTAGAACCACAATCAATCAACAGAATACTTCAACAGTGGGGCTACATTACCTGTAGAACCACACTCCACCAATGGAATACTTCAACAGTGGGGCTACATTACCTGTAGAACCACACTCCACCAATGGAATACTTCAACAGTGGGGCTACATTACCTGTAGAACCACACTCCACCAATGGAATACTTAAACAGTGGGGCTACATTACCTGTAGAACCACACCCCACCAATGGAATACTTCAACAGTGGGGCTACATTACCTGTAGAACCACACCCCACCAATGGAATACTTCAACAGTGGGGCTACATTACCTGTAGAATCACAATCAACCAACAGAATACTTCAACAGTGGGGCTACATTACCTGTAGAACCACAATAAACCAATGGAATACTTCAACAGTGGGGCTACATTACCTGTAGAACCACAATAAACCAATGGAATACTTCAACAGTGGGGCTACATTACCTGTAGAACCACAATCAATCAACAGAATACTTCAACAGTGGGGCTACATTACCTGTAGAACCACAATCAACCAACAGAATACTTCAACAGTGGGGCTACATTACCTGTAGAACCACACCCCACCAATGGAATACTTCAACAGTGGGGCTACATTACCTGTAGAACCACACCCCACCAATGGAATACTTCAACAGTGGGGCTACATTACATGCAGATTATCAAACAATGGAACACTGCAACAACATGATTGCATTAACTGTAATCTGTTACCACTTCTTTTGCATGTAGTTTACAATCTTTCTTATTTTTCATGAACTAAATTTCTTTAGTTTTGATAATTAAAAGTATCTTTCTACATACTTTTAAGAAAAAAACTATAAAATGGTTAAATTTACACCTCTCATAAAAAAATCTGATCTTAAAGGTCAATAGGTTTTATTTCATCAATCTTATTTTGAAAAAGACAATTCCAATATTCTACAAATTCAGCGTAAAATGAAACAACAAATATTCTCCATAAAGGTACAGATTTATAAACACCTTGATTTGGTCCCTACGCTTTTGTTCAGCATGTGTGTGGGCCTCTCTACGACGATCCTTGTAACTCAGGGTTGGTTTATTACCATCACTGTCCTCATCATCTGAACACAGCAAAACCAATTACATGAAATGTATTACATCAGATGGGACAGATCATACAAATAAATAGATGTATTACATTTACATTAACTGACTGCATCTTGTTTTAAAAATAACATTGAGAGTTGAAAACTTGAAAAAAGCTGTCTAAACAGAACTTTTTCTCACCATAAGCAATATACATGGTTATCCAACATTAATGCATTTGTGAAGAAAAAGCATCTAACAGTATACTTCAAATATCTGTCAGTACTGAGTGGTGTGTTGATAGATCAACAACATAAGTTAACTCAATTTCATGATATCTTGGAGTGAACTAGAGAACTTGGAGTGACACTAGATATAGACAATTACATATAACAGACTTTATATCATTCTGGTATTGTTGATGCATGGACTTTCAAACTAAAACAAATGTGAAATTTACTTGCTATAGAAACTGCTTTTTCAAAATCTTGTAGTCATATGATTATATTCTGATGTTGAACAATGAGAGATTAATGAAATGCTCACCTGAGTTATGTGCTGACGAAGCAGATGATGCACATCCTGCTGGTATAGAACCAGTGCTGCTTGTCCTGGAGAAGGAGAAGTGCTGACCAACAGTCGGGCTAGTCTCTAACTTAACATCCTCTGAAAGAAAAAAGTTTATGCTGTTATTGATTTGGTAGTCATGGTTTCAAAATCCATATGTATATATCAAATAGATGAGGAGTTACAAAAATCAGTTTATCATTATTTGTTCTATTTAAGTTTGTAGAATATACTTTCTTTTTTTCTCCCTTTTTAATTTGTCCTGACATTTCTTTGTCACTATGGACTTGAGATACAATTAGTTGTTGCATTGACAAGTTAATGATGAACCAAACTGTATCATTTACACCCAAAACTATACAAGAGGGCTCTTTGCAGTCACCATTTTATTCTCTGAATTATCTTTAGCGAAATATATTCATTTCTTTCTTGAGTTTTCAAACTTGTCCCAATTCAATATCACATATGCACAACTAGGCACCAAGGGGAACTGCGTATAAGAATGATCCATAGAGTACATGTACCTCTCAAGAAAAATTTATAGGTGATAATAAACTCAAAATCCAAGATGGCCACCTGTTCCGATTAAATAGCTAGTTTAGCCAATGTACACCTATAACCATACAGAGATAAAGGAAACCAACATGTATGTAAGGTGTATATAATCCGATACTTCTGCATCAAGTACCAACATTCAGACCCAGCCTCCTAGCTAGAAACTGTAATTAACATGCATCTATTCCAGTGTAGGAGATTCAACAGGCTTGAATTTTTAAATATAATCAAACAGGACTGAGCATATCTTGATACTTTAGTGTATCTGAGTAAATAACCAAGAACAGATTCCATCAAAAGGTGCTGGATAAATGAGCTACACACTATCACACTAGTATGCATATAAATATGATACATCAGGTATATAGAGACCTATCAATTGTAAATCTGGCCCACTCGCATCTTCATCCCCTCCCCATGTATAACTTAGTCAACAAATAAAATTAAGTGGACATACAATCCAGTTGATACACAAAAATGTACTGGGAGTTTGGGTTTTGGGGATTTTGGATTGAATTGGTCACAAGTGCACAAACCCGTAATACAGAATAATCATGCAATGAATGCGTGATCGTTTCTGTGAAAAAAAAAATAAAAAACCAACAACATGCTTGTTATTCACAGAATATGTGGCCATAAAGTGTGTGTAATAATTTATATGTGTCGATAATACTGATGAAAAGATGACAAATAAGTGGCATATTTACCTGAAAATGATCTATCCATTTTCAGAGGTTGTTTATAAACAGGCCATTCACTATAACATGTACAGGCAAACGCTTTAATTCTACAACACACGGCGGCTATAATTTTAAGCGTCTATATGACCCAGACAGCATTTGTTTCGGTAGAAAATTTTACGCAACATGTAGCAATGAGTTCGTGACAGGGAGTTTAAATCATCATCGGCAACAGTTGGCCGTGTCTTTTAACTTATCCTTGTAAACGACAACAAAATAAGCAGCCATTTACCAATCAACTCCTTGCCTATCTAACAAGATTAACTTAGGGTATGATCGATAGATCAGATATCTTATTTCAATACAACAGGGACAGATTGATATATGTACTTTCCTGTACACCACAATGTCAGTTGTATAGTTCACATGACCGTCGTTCACTTCAGTGTACAGTGATATGTCTTCCATTGAAATTTAATTGTAATGGACCTACGAAATCACAGGTACCATCCTCGTACACTCTTAGAGGCCAGTTGGTACCTGTAAATACTGTGATGTTTAAAGATTGAAAATAGCAATTTAAATTAATACATGTAAACAGAGACGTATATACGTCTCTGATGTAAATATATTTTAAGCTCTAACTGATGCATACAGATGTCAGATGTCGTTTATGTTCCTTTGTTAATATTATCGTTATTTACATCATGATGCATGTGTATGTCCACCAAATAGAACATCCTTGTGTGTCGGTCTAACTAGCGATCGCAAATATGATCACAGAAAATTATTCCACTGATAGACAGAATACTTTACATCTAATTCTTTATGACAGACACATTACCATATATTTCAGGTGAACAATAAGTCAGCTTGTACGATTGTTTACATTCTGTGAGATCAACAAGATGATGAGTCCTATCGAGAAACAAGGCTATCTTGGGGACATCTCAACAAAGTCAACAGCAGAGTTAATGGAGTTGCTTTCACGCCAAGAGAAAATACTGAAGAAAACGTAAGCATTAAAATCATTACACCACATAATTTTGTATGACATTAATTTTGTATCCACATTCTGTAACGTTTTCTTTGAGTTTTCTATCTTTAGGGTGGACTAGGATATTTCGGAATGTCTTGTGAGGTTTCATGGCCACTGTAAAGCCATGGCCACGGTAAATCCTCTGAATGGTTTCTGACAGGCCTTTGATGTAAGGGATGACAAGTTGTCCTTTCACTTTTGTTCTTTTCCTTAGTGTTTTGTCTCTTAGCCTTTTTGCTAACATCAAATTCATTAACTTTCTGGAATGCCCTGATAGGGCATCCACATGTTTGCATGGTGCTAGCGGTGTGACTTTGGTCTTGCTTCTTTTCTTGTTCTTTTGTGACATTCGGTTCACATGTGTTGAGCTAGGTTTGTGTAATGGCCACCTTCAGGTGTAAGGGGTGGTGCGATTGGAAGTTGAGGTATTGATCTGTGTACATCTTTTTCCTATAGACCAATGCTTTGATAGTACGGTCATCTTTCTTTACTAGGAGGTGTCAAGGAATGGCATAGTGTCATTGATTTCTTCCTCACAGGTGAATTTGATGCTGTTGGTGGTATCTAAGGTATTGATATGCTCAGTCAAATCTTACTGTGATCCTTTTTTGACTATTTCTAATATGTCATCAACATATCACTTTCAAAGACTGGGCTTGCATTCTACGGAGGCTATTGCCTCTTGCTCCAAGTGTTCAAATAAAGACAGTTGGTTAAGGAAGCCATCTGGATACGCCGAAGCAGGCCAGTACTTAATAGGGACGAGGGGGGCCACAGACTCTTGCACGTCTATGACCAACCATAGCCAAATTGGTCTGTAATCTGTTTATGTTCTCATCACACTTTTTCGACCTTAGTGTACATAGGATTATAGTGTAGCAGAAAAAGCTGATCGATTCTGTACCATCTCCTACAGGTCAGATTTAACACATGTCTTGCATCACTGAAATATATAGAACTGAGAAAGGCATGTACAATGTAAATGAGTAACATTATCATAGATTCTGGATTTAAGATTTTACACATAATTATTTATCTGTAGGTACTTGTAATTATCAGGTTTTAACTATTTTCAGGAAATTTGTAGAGTCTTTACCAGATAAAGGAGCGAAAGTAAGAGCATTTTATGAAAAGCTACAGCAGCTGATATCAGAGAGAACACAAATTGTAGACAGTAGTGATGTCTCTAAATCTCCAGCCACTAGACAAATCGCACAGCTCCACTCAACATTTGCTCCAGCTAGTCTACTCGGGGATAAACAAGGACACACTCTGAGTGAAAGTTCGGTAGAACTACAACCAAATGTGACAGCTGATGCTGTAAAAAACAATTCCAGTACCGAAGATGATATAAGGTTACAAGACAATCAAGTATTGGCCATCTCATCAACTACTACCATAACACCATCTCAAGGTGAAGACAGTTCCAAAGTGGACATGGAAAGTGCTGAAAATGAAAATAAAACAATAGTTAATAGTTCTGATCTGGAGGAGTCACTGAAGAAACTGCAGATTTCTGGAGAAGTATCGGTAACAGAAAGGATTCAGAAAGAAAAAACTACACACGCCTGCAGCAAGGCGCTTCAGAATGCTGATGAAATCCACATTCCTCACAAACCAAACAAGTAAAACATACTACAACATACTTCTTCTTTTTTTTTTCTTTTCTGAAATAAACATTGATTGGTGTGGTAATATTTCAATCAAACTTTTCTCTCGACTGATATAAATTTATTGTATAACAAAGTGTATATTGATTGAGAAGTCAACGTAAACAAATTATGTAGCTATCCAAGTAGACCAATCGCCATTTATTACAGCACTTGATTTACAGAGCTGTAGTGTCATATATTGGAACTTTATATGCACCTAATTTTGACATGATTTTTAATTTTGTAGCTTTCTGAAGAAATCAAAAGTTTCAGACTTGCCAAGAGAGTATAAGTTTAAATCACGAGATGAGGATCATGTTCTTCCTGTCTGTGCTGTCACTAGAGCTGTGGAGGAGTCTGCAGCCACACCCCCTATCTACAAACACAAGGAGAGCAAGCTCATATCGCTCGATGAGTCACTTTATTTGCAGAAGACACAGAAAGTTAAACAAGAGGTAAGTTCAGATAGAGCTCTAATTGATTCAGGTGTGAAGTGCACACAAAGAAATGTATAAACAGGCTTCAGATCATTATATTAACCCGTGTGACAGAGCATTGAGATCACCTACCTATTCTAGAGTGATGAAGTTACATGGTAGTTGTGATATGTCATATGTACAATTAACATAATTTTCTTGCAATGATTAGGCCATGTTTAACAAGCTCTCGACCAGAGATTCAATAGAAATGGCAACAAAAGCACTACCATTGCACTGTGAAAGCCCCATCCTGACATCATGTCAGTCAAACGGCTTATGTGATGTGCTTTTTTCGTTTTAGTGGGTTTTTTTTTCGTTTTTTTGGCACAGGATGATTTTGGTAAAGTTGAAGGTCATCTGGTCATCATGTACAAGTATCATTATACATAACTAGCACTGCTGCTTTGCCCAATTCCATGTGTACCACAATGACATAGAGAATTATGAGATTGTACAATTAAGATTATGGGTGATAGATTAACGCCTTACTAAATTTTACTAAAAATGATCATTTGTTTATCTTGTAAGTGTTACCCTCACAGTCAGCAAGAAGGTACTTGTATCAGCCGTGTTTATTGTATATTAAAGTTCATATCCCACTGTCTCCTCTTGCAGGAGCTACAAGCCAGGAATGCTGCAGAGAAGTTGTCCCAAAGATTAGGTATTACAATGGAACGGTACAACCCTGAAGGAGTGGACATGTCGTATCCTTGTTTTATTTCTATCCATGGTGATGTATAAATAGGCGTATATAAATAAAACGGTCTATAGGAAGAAAACCTAAAACAAAAGATGTAATTGTAGACTGGTGTAGTAGCCAATAGAAAGTAATTACAACAAATACATTACAGAGATGTTATCTATGTGAGTATAGCTTGAATGATAAGCATTTTTATAAAGCAAAGCAATGTGAAATGACACCAGGATAGCCATTTTTTTCTGTTTCATTGCTTTCACAAGTATATGTTTACATTCCTGATATCAGACAGAGAGCTGACAACTTGCAGTTTGTTAAAACAATTCTTATTGTACTTTAAAAACTAACAGGAGGTTGAAAGGATGCAAATATTTAAATGGAAGAAAGTTGAGTGATATGAATTAATAAGGTTTAAATGAAAACCAATTTGAAATGTGTAGTACAGTGCAACATGTTTCATAGAATAATTCAACAACAAAAGAAACTGTCATTATTTTTTTTATATATATTCATGTTTATATGTATTTATATAAAATTTCACACTGTATCCAGATAGCACTATGTATCCAGATTACACCTTGTGTCCACATTACACTTTGTGTCCACATTACACTATGTATCTAGATATCCAGATTGCACTTTTTATCCAAATCACACTATGTATCAAGATTACACTATGTATCCTGATTACACTATGTATCCTGATTACACTCTGTATCCTGATTACACTTTGTATCTATCCTGATTACACTATGTATCCTGATTACACTCTGTATCCTGATTACACTATGTATCCTGATTACACTTTGTATCCTGATTACACTTTGTATCCTGATTACACTATGTATCTATCCAGATCACACTATGTATCCTGATTACACTATGTATCCTGATTACACTCTGTATCCTGATTACACTCTGTATCCTGATTACACTATGTAACCAGATTACACTATGTATCCTGATTACACTATGTATCCTGATTACACTCTGTATCCTGATTACACTTTGTATCCTGATTACACTATGTATCTATCCAGATCACACTATGTATCCAGATTACACTATGTATCCTGATTACACTATGTATCCAGATTACACTATGTATCCTGATTACACTATGTATCCTGATTACACTGTATCCTGATTACACTGTATCCTGATTACACTCTGTATCCAGATCACACTATGTATCCTGATTACACTGTATCCTGATTACACTCTGTATCCAGATTACACTATGTATCCTGATTACACTATGTATCCTGATTACACTATGTATCCTGATTACACTCTGTATCCAGATTACACTATGTATCCTGATTACACTATGTATCTATCCAGATTACACTATGTATCCTGATTACACTATGTATCCAGATTACACTCTGTATCCTGATTACACTATGTATCCAGATTACACTATGTATCCTGATTACACTATGTATCTATCCAGATCACACTATGTATCCTGATTACACTATGTATCCTGATTACACTATGTATCCTGATTACACTATGTATCCTGATTACACTATGTATCCTGATTACACTATGTATCCTGATTACACTATGTATCCTGATTACACTATGTATCCTGATTACACTATGTAACCAGATTACACTATGTATCCTGATTACACTATGTATCCTGATTACACTATGTATCCTGATTACACTCCGTATCCAGATCACACTATGTATCCTGATTACACTCTGTATCTATCCAGATCACACTATGTATCCTGATTACACTATGTATCCTGATTACACTATGTATCCTGATTACACTATGTATCCTGTATCCTGATTACACTATGTATCCTGATTACACTATGTATCCTGATTACACTATGTATCCTGATTACACTATGTATCCTATTACACTATGTAACCAGATTACACTATGTATCCTGATAAGATACAGAAATGGAGGCTATGTGGACAGTGATTACACTATTGTGATACAACTATCCAGATTACACTGTGTGTCCTGATTACATTATGTCAGCAACAAATCAGTTTTGATTACACTTTGTATAATACTGTTATGTACCAGATTACACTTGTATACACAATGTTGACATTACTGGTGTGTACAGGATGTTGACATTACTGTTGTGTCCAGATGACATTACTGTTGTGTCCTGATTACATTTACTATGTATCCTGATTACACTCTGTATCCAGATGTTACATTTACTGTTGTGTACAGGATGTTGACATTACTGTTGTGTACAGGATGTTGACATTACTGTTGTGTAACGGATGTTGACATTACTGCTGTATACAGGATGTTGACATTACTGTTATGTAGCGAATGTTGATGTAACTGTTGTATACAGGATGTTGACATTACTGTTGTGTAGCGGATGTTGACATTACTGTTGTGTAACGGATGTTGACATTACTGTTGTGTAACGGATGTTGACATTACTGTTGTATACAGGATGTTGACATTACTGGTGTATACAGGATGTTGACATTACTGTTGTGTAACGGATGTTGACATTACTGTTGTGTACAGGATGTTGACATTACTGTTGTGTACAGGATGTTGACATTACTGTTGTGTAACGGATGTTAACATTACTGTTGTGTAACGGATATTGACATTACTGTTGTATACAGGATGTTGACATTACTGTTGTATACAGGATGTTGACATTACTGTTGTGTACAGGATGTTGACATTACTGTTGTGTAACGGATGTTGACATTACTGTTGTATACAGGATGTTGACATTACTGTTATGTAGCGAATGTTGATATAACTGTTGTGTACAGGATGTTGACATTACTGTTGTGCACAGGATGTTGATATTACTGTTGTGTTACGGATGTTGACATTACTGTTGTATACAGGATGTTGACATTACTGTTGTGTAACGGATGTTGACATTACTGTTGTGTACAGGATGTTGACATTACTGTTGTGTACAGGATGTTGACATTACTGTTGTGTAACGGATGTTGACATTACTGTTGTATACAGGATGTTGACATTACTGTTATGTAGCGAATGTTGATATAACTGTTGTGTACAGGATGTTGACATTACTGTTATGTAGCGAATGTTGATATAACTGTTGTATACAGGATGTTGACATTACTGTTGTGTAGCGGATGTTGACATTACTGTTGTATACAGGATGTTGACATTACTGTTATGTAGCGAATGTTGATATAACTGTTGTATACAGGATGTTGACATTACTGTTGTGTAGCGGATGTTGACATTACTGTTGTGTAACGGATGTTGACATTACTGTTGTATACAGGATGTTGACATTACTGGTGTATACAGGATGTTGACATTACTGTTGTGTAACGGATGTTGACATTACTTTTGTGTACATGATGTTGACATTACTGTTGTGTACAGGATGTTGACATTACTGTTGTGTAACGGATGTTGACATTACTGTTGTGTACAGGATGTTGACATTACTGTTGTGTAACGGATGTTGACATTACTGTTGTATACAGGATGTTGACATTACTGTTATGTAGCGAATGTTGATATAACTGTTGTGTACAGGATGTTGACATTACTGTTGTGCACAGGTTGTTGACATTACTGTTGTGTACAGGATGTTGACATTACTGTTGTGTACAGGATGTTGACATTACTGTTGTGTAACGGATGTTGACATTACTGTTGTATACAGGATGTTGACATTACTGTTATGTAGCGAATGTTGATATAACTGTTGTATACAGGATGTTGACATTACTGTTGTGTAGCGGATGTTGACATTACTGTTGTGTAGCGCATGTTGACATTACTGTTGTGTACAGGATGTTGACATTACTGTTATGTAGCGAATGTTGACATAACTTGTATACATGATGTTGACATTACTGTTGTGTAACAGATGTTGACATTACTGTTGTGTAACAGATGTTGACATTACTGTTGTGTACAGGATGTTGACATTACTGTTGTGTAACGGATGTTGACATTACTGTTGTGTAATGGATGTTGACCTTACTGTTGTGTACACAATGTTGACAATTTTGTTGCATGTAGGAAGGTGATATTCCTTTTGTGAAGGATGCTGACATTCTTGTGGTTAACAACCAGATCCAAGGTATAGTCACTGTGTTTTGCAATATTGTAAATTGTTTTAGGAAATAAAGTTTATAGTATGTTTATACCTGTCATGTATTAAGGCGACATGTGGCGCCTCCTGGGGGATATTCACAACATTTGATTAATGCCTTGGTTGGTGTACTGCTCACCAAAGTATGGTTATTGATATGTGGTCAGTAATTATTTGAAGTTTACAGTATGCTGACCCGAGTGCCTTCTAAGTGATCAGTAATTGTGTGACATCACTATACTTTCTCTGGTAACTGATGCTGTAGTATATTTATGTTCAAGAATTGTTGATAATTTTTCTTTGCTTAAATATATCAGAAATCATTCATATTTTTCTTACCTTCTCAATAAATTTTTTAAAGTGCACATGATCAAACTTCATTTCACATTTTTTTTTTTTTTTTTTCTTGTTTTCTTTCAAATTTATATACTGAAATAGCTTTACTCAACACTTCATCGACAACTTTGGAATTTTTAAAATATTCTTTTTATATCTTTTAATTCTGATAAAAACTTCTAGTACAGCCCTGTTATATATTATGAGTGTTAAAAAAGTGTCTGGTTGTTCATTATAAACTTATAGCCTACTCAAATTAAGAATACAGTCTGTAATTCACTTCCTAGGTTGGGTGGTTCCTGATAAAGGTTATGGTACAAGGTACAATGCAGTTAAATATAGACATTATTATGTGAAATTCACTAGTCATGTAAAGATTACTTAAATGTAATAGAAAATACACTATTGTCAATAAACAAGTAAAATACATTTACATTATTTGCGATGAATAAATGTGTAGACCGTTTGATCGAATCATTTCGCTCGGTCATCTGTCAGGGCAGATCTAATGAGACAAAGTTTCCGTTTTTGGAATTTTATTGAGCAGTCAAATAGAAAAGTTGATTTCCATCTGTCAGAGTTGCTGTCAAATGCCATTGAGA